CATTGCGGAGGCCTTTACAGCCATGGCGATGCACTTGTTTTTGTCGCTCGTTTACCGACGCAATTCAATGAAGACGCCCGCTGCAACAGACCAGCAAATTTATCGTGTCGTCTGCTACCAGAGCAAAGCGGAGTGTAATACTTCAGAAATGGCGACACTGAGACGTCAAGAACATCTTCATAATTAGATACCAAGAAGTTAGGTTGCCTACAAAAAATTATTTACTTGTAAGCAAACATCTAGCTTCATGTGGAGTCTCCATGCACTAGTCCATAGCAGCGTTCCTAGCAACCGTTTGTTGGGACCCAGACGCCATGTTGTGACGTAGTCACGGGGTCAGTTGAGACGGAATGTCCAACAAGTATGAATATCCAACGAGAGGGAATATCCTACCAGGCCGGAATGTCCACCGTGACTGAACATCCATCGAGGCGGAATGTCCAATTAAGACTGAATGTTCAACGAGTAGAATGTCCAACAAGACGAAAGATCCAATAATGGACATTCAGGCACGCTGGACATTGCGTCTCGGTTGGACCTTCCGTCTCGTTGGACATTCGGGCCCGATGGACGTTTTGTGTCGGTTGAATCTTTTGTCTCTTTGGACATTCAGGCACGTTGGACGTTGCGTCTCGCGTGTCACTTGCTAGATATATTTTGTCTCGTTAAATATAGGCTTGTCTGTATGTTTAACCCGCGTTCCTGCAATCATTGCTATCTTTTCGTCATACTAAAATGTCGTGTGCACTGAAGCCTGCGTTGACGAGCCGACAGAGAAACGGTGTAGAGGCAAAGGTGCTGTTTTATTTATAAAAAGGCGTGACGGTCAGTTACCATAGTGCCAGTGCACTTATCCATGGATTAAACCTGTCGACTGTAGGAAGTCAAACGCTCCTTCGGTATTGCATCGCAATTGGGGGACGTCGATGAAAGCCGCGCTTCAGATTCCAGCAATTTTTGGTTCAATCGTTATTCCTGCCCGTTTCGATCCATAGGTGAGCATCGTGTGGGCACGCGTTTGTGCAAGCGTTACTGCGTGACCGCCCGCCTGCGTCACTGATCATGCGCATAGTGAATGTTTAATTTTTTTTTTAAAGCAGCTGTGGAAGCTGTTTGCACAAGCGTAATTTCCCACTAATATTGATAACAGATATATTTTTTTTTATATAAAAACTGTATCTCACGCGCCTAAAAAGCATGGGGTAGTTGTGGGCGGGACCCAACAACCCCAGAGTAAATGCAAAACGATCGTGTTAATTTGACAATCTTTTTACTTATCTTTGGAACAGTTGACACTGTACCCTGCAGTTGTCAGTAGTTTTACAAAGGAATGCATTTCCTGCCAGTAGATCCGTATGGCACAGACTAGAGTGGGAATACTATAATATCACGGAGTACACTTTTTTTTTTACATATGGCATACATAGTGCTTTTTAGAAGCAAGCGCCCATGTAATTTAACTGTTTTCTGGGAGCACTCCGGAGCTCGCGATCCTGTCGACGTAGTTGAGGATGTCGTGGTACGTGGCAGCTTGGACGTGAACGCATCCATCTCGGCGTGGAGGAGAAGGTTCCTGTTGACAGCGGCGCTGGGGGTTGGTTTGGTTGCAGCCAGGGGGTCTAACAACAAGGCCTGCATACAAGCTGTTTTGCGGTGCGTGCTGCGATACTTGTAGAAACTGAATAAACTCCGCAAGAGCTGGCTGGTAACTGCATAAATGACTGTGCAGCCCGTTATGCCGGCCCTCTCCCATGTTTCTTGTTCTTGGTCCCCGGCCTCCTAGCTGGCCCCAGATCTCTTTGACATCGCTTTTCGAGACCCAGAAGCTTTTGAAGTAACGCACCAGATGTGCAAGCCATGCTGCGTGCAGTGGTGACTGGTGAGGTCTGGCGGCGAGCAGTCCCCAGCAAACTGAAGTTTGAAGTCACTCGGCACGAAGGGAAGATGTCGCAGCCTGATGATCGAGCCATTCGTTTACATCAACGTCGTCCCGGCACAAGGTCCTAAGTCCCAGCTCGTCATGCTTCTTCTTCAGGGCCTTTGCGAAGTGAAACGCATAATTGCATACCTTAAAATAGAAAAAAAAAATAAGGATAAATCATGGTTATATTTTGATACATCTCTTTTTTTCTTTTATTTACGTGCAATGCCACAGAGCTTCGAGTCTTATATGCCTGTTAATAATGTTTTCGGATTCAGAATAGGAAAAGGTATTTCTTGTGCTTGATCCCAGACAATTATACCAATCAGGCAATATATAGGCATGGGCGTATTAATGATAAGCTGCTTTGGTAGCTCACAGTTAGAGGCAGAGTACTGGGTCCCTAATCTGGGCATTTGGCGAGAAAGTCGGCGGCCGTGATTGGCCGACACCGCACTTGACCTTGGCGCCGGCCAATCACAGCCGCCGTCTTTCTCGCCAAGTGTCCAGATTAGGGCCCCTGGTCTACGGGCCCCTAACGTGTGTACGTCATATTTCCGGTCGGGTTTGCCACACGCAGTCTCCACATGATCGTTTGCGGTAAGCCGCCTAACTGGGATGACGTTTGCGCGTAAGAACATTACGAAGAGGTGCATAAGTTATTTGCTGGGGCATGCCGGATGACATTTGTAGGTTCGGTATTTAAACTTTGAAAAAAGGGAAGACATGGTAGTTAAATCGTTAATTTAAATTGAAGAAAGGAAAAGCTTGTGTAGTGTTCTTACTTTTGGAGGCCCCACGGCGGTCTGAAATGTTTTCGTCATGCCTGAATCGCTGCTGACTCGTAGTCAAAGAGCCACGTGGTTGAGGTCTCCAGTGTTCCTGCATGTCCGCACATGTCTATTCTAGACACCTTGAAGGCACCAAAAATGACCTTCTACGCCGGAGCGTCAGTGGATTGCACCAAGGCATAAAGAACAGGGTGGGCATCTTCCTTCACGACCGCATGTAAGGTATACAGTTGACCAGGACTGTGGAATTCGATTGGATGATATTTGAAGTTTCCGTCGCCCAAAATATAATCGCCGTTCGCAAGGTATTCCAAGTCCTTATCGGAATGAAAGAGCAGCAACCGCCTGCCTTACTCCAATCGCAGAAATGGCCTTAAGTCCTTCGTGATGCGAAGTTTAGGCAGTGTGGCGTCGATGGTGTTGTGTTTTAGGCTATTGTGATGTCGGTTTCTTGACAAGGTGGCCGCCTCTTTGATGCAAATTCATACCCACTATTTAGGGTGGCCTGTATGCCTCTTTGAACATCGTCTCCATACTCATGAAAGCGCTCATGGACTGATGACACTGCTTCATCAAAAGCCTCTCGGTGTCTTTTCCAGCTCTGACGCACGTCCGTAGATACTTCGTACATAAAACGCTTGGAGAGAACAGATGTTGAATCGGCGTATTCGTTCGGGTCGTAATTGTGAAGTGTCGCTGGGTCGTCGGATCTGTCGCCATAACTCCGTTCCGTAAAGTGAGTCGTGCTACGGGGCACTTCTCACCGGACGTCTGCTTGCTAATCGCTTGGGTCTCTAAGATTTACACGATAGGAGAATTCGAGGGCAGCAATGGGCCACTGCTGGCTCTTGTACTGAATTACAGGCTTGCTCGACCTTTCGCGCGATGGCACAAACGTTAAGACATAAAGGGCAATTAACACTCTTCCTGCTCGGGCTCTTCACCCTTCTTCCTGTAGCCACAAAAAGAAAACACAACGGAATTTGGATGGGGGGTACGAATTCAACCTCCAAGCATTTGCAAAGTGGAAACTTAATTCTAGAATGCATGTATCTGCGATTTGAACTTCAACATTGGCCGGAGCATACATAGCACGTGCCCCCAGCATTACCAGACACGGCGTGTTGCTATGGCGAACACTCAGGGCCTGAATCGGCAAGAAAACAGGTGACAACCTCTTGTGGTTGTCACCTGTTTTCTTTGTTAATTGCAGATTTTTGTCTTATGCCCCTCTTGGAGTCTCCACGGAGAAAAAAAGTAAACCCCTCCAAAGTAAGAGTCAATAACATTTTAAGATTTCTTTGACATACTCAAACTCTAAAAAGCACGAAATATAAATAACTTGAAAACCGGCCTGCATTTTTGTCGTTTTTCTTTTTCTCCGAATTGCAAGCTTGTTTACACTGAATATACCGGGTATACACATGAAGTTTGTTAGATTTGTGCGGTGCAATACAAGAAAATAAAACTATGGACATCACAATAATACCAACACCAACATAAAAATCAACTCTTTCCTTCTTTACTTGTAAACGGAAAAGCTAAACAAACAACATACGTGTGCATTCTTTCTCACCAGACGTTTGCCCTTTTCATCGTACCTTTTCTACGGAGAGTGTGCTGTACATGTTCCTGCAAAACCTACAAGCGCTGGTGTTCCAATCATTTAACAAAGGTCCCATTTGACGAAGCGGCGTCCGGTAAAACTGCGTTCAATTATCCATCCCCTACTCTCCCTCAGTTTCTCGTCGCATTATGCCAGCAGGTGAAACGAGAGAGAACAAGGAATTTTATCGGCACGATATTTTAAGATTTCGCTGGTTTTGAACTGTTTCGAACCGAAGGAACTCCCGCTTAGTTACTAGGGAGTTTTAGTCGATCGTTCCGATAGCGATATACGATAACTTTACGATGCATGCGCAAAGACGTTGGCGGAGTATCGGGTATCGTTATCGGAGTTATCGGAATGATTTACTAAAACTCCCTACTGATTGGAAGTATGCAGTCATTAGAGAGTTTTAGCAGATCGTTTTTTTCGCCCCGATAGCGATACCTCCTCTCCCTTCCGGCGGCCTTGGGCATGCATCGTATCGTTATCGGGTGTCGTTATCGGGACGGAGAAACGATCTGCTAAAACTCTCTAATATTACAGTTCCGTTTTCTGCGGTAGAGTATTATCACTTACATTCAATGGTATCGTGGTTTCCGGCCGAGGTCCGCGGGAAAAATCTGGCAACCCGTCACGCGTCGCAAACAAAATGGGAAAAACCGCGGGTGAACAGCCCCTTTTCCTTTCTGTCGCTATCTTTCCGCGTACCTGTCGGTTTCGCCAACATCCGCAACCAGATGTTATCGAGACCTCGATGGCCAACATGTGTCCGCGTCTCCACGGAGTTCTCGCGCGAGCCATAAAAAGAGAGACCGGGACGATCTGCACACCCCTTGTTCCCATCGGAGCCGCGCGCGTCGAAGCAGACCTCAGCCGCAGTCTGCGCCTCTCTTGCCGTCATGCTCAGCGTCGCTCTTTGTCTCGTCGTCGGGGCCCTTATGGCGAAGAGTACGTCGGGGTCCCAAGAGGCCTGCGGTCGGCCCCCGATCCCTCCGACCCTGGACGACGGGGACCGGATCCTAGGGGGCAGCGAGGCCGTGCCCGGCAGCTGGCCCTGGCAGGTGGGCTTCCTCGACCACCCTTTCCTGGGAGGGGAGTTCTTCTGCTCCGGGGTGCTCATCGATGACCAGCACGTGGTCACGGCCTCCCACTGCGTCAGGTGAGGTGGACAGGCTGTCTTGCTGCGAGGTTGCTTACCATGATGGATTTCATCAGAGACTGGGGCAGAAGGAGGCAAAAACTTTGACGGTGGTGGAAAAAGAAGCAGGGACAATGTCTCCGACTTAACTAAATAGTTTATTTAATCACCCTCCTTATATACATAAATCTACATGGCAGAACATCCTGGTTTTGAAGGACATGCAAAAATCCCAGACCAAAAAAAAAAGAAAAAACTCATAAAAATAAAGAATAAATTAAAAGAAAAAAAAAACTACAAAGTACAAATAACTTTAAATTGAACAAAGACTTCTGGACTACTTTGATTATATATCTAGTGTTTGCAGTCCTAGAATACACAACTTTTAAATGTGACACACGAAGCTGCAAGGATGACCCCACACTTCGCACCCTGACCTCTACTAGACAGTCTGGACCACAACCAACTCCTCCTTATTAACAGAAGAAAAGCTTACAACGTGACGCAAGAAAAAAAAAAACACAATTAAGGTTGCAAATATTTTTTTAGCTACTACCAAGCTGCAAAGAAGTCTCACCAATTGATTCTTATTCATTTTATCCGGATTATTTCTCTCGGAAATCTCTCGATGCTATTTAACCCTCTGTGTACTGTTTCTGCTTCTGGCCATTGTGCATTACAATTATTACATTCGTGAACATGTTTAGCTATTTCCAAATTAGCGGAGTTTATCTCTTTAGGGTCAATTGAAAGGGGAACAGAGACTAAAGGCAAAAAATGCCTGACGAAGGTCCCTGTCCTCTTTGCAATTCGTACATACGGTACTCAGTATAAATACACTTAGCACAGCTGTATACATAGCGATTCAAAACAATGTTATGGCTTTGTATGGTATCATCAAGAGATGATCACAAGTAGTAATATAAATTATGAAATATACTTTTTCAGACGTTCAGATACAAAACCATCAATTTATACACGTATAAAAATGGCAATAAAACCGTTTCACTGCCCACCAAGAGTGTCCTGAGCTCTTTCTTAAATTTAGAATAAGAGTTTTTAAAATCCACGAAGGTTCCAATGGAATTTAATAATTTGGTCACTTGTTAATCTTTAGTTTGCTTTCCGTAATTTGTGCGAATCTGTGGAGGTCGTCTTAAGGAGTGCCGAAAGGTGTATCTATTCGCTACGTCACTTGTATGTGTATTATAAAGTTTCTCAGTTTGGATTAGCTGCATTAGCTTGAAATCATAAATTTGGATAGCCTTGAGTATACCGTGTTTTCTAAAAAGGAACTCAGTGTTAAGGTCTTGTATATTTACCGCGAAACTTTCAAAAGTTACGAAGGTGTGTCGGAACTTTCAAATATCCGCAAGATTTTCTTCTGTAATTTAAGAATCTTATTGTAGTTTGTGAGCATTGTTGTACCCCCATACTAAAATACACTACAATAACTTTGAGTAAAAAAGAGAGTTATATATATATACATGTCTTAACCATGTAGGGATCAGGTTTCTTATTTTATACATGCACCCAACTGCCTGAGAAAGCTCGGCAGTCAACTTATTTACATGTGTATTCCAGCTAAGCTACCGGTTAAACCGAACGCCTAAAATATTTTGTTCGGGAGCCTGCTCTATAATTGTGTTTTCGAAATATAACCTTATTGAAGTATCATCCTGTTAGTCTATTGTGATCCGTTAACCTGTAATTTATGCACCTCTAAGTTTATCCCACGTACTTCAATAGGCAATGCATAGAGTACGCCATTTTCGCCGGGGACCGTCTAATACGGAAATAGCTAATCATGTTGACGAATGTAGTAATTGTAATGTGGTCGGGGACAAACATAGTACGCGGTGTAGAGCGTTGAGTCTCCTCTCTGGAGACTTTCTGGGGCCATAGCTAGCATTTGGCGCCTTCATGCGATGGCGCGGTGCAGAAGAGCGCCTCTTGATCACATAGTTGACGCACAGGCGGTGGCGTACCAACTTGTTTTTGAGTGAGGGGCAAACCAACCCCCCCCCCCCCTTCCCCCCTTCCCCCCCAAGTGATACAAAGACATGCCCAATACATGCCCTTGGTATCCCTTGGGCGCCGCCGGCCAGTGTTTGCCCTCCCCAGTGGCGGCTGTTTCAAAAGGAGATGCCTTGCCCCCCCCCCCCCCCCCCTTTGAGAACTGGAGGGGGGGGCAAGGCCCCCTTGCCCCCCCCCCCCTTCCCCCCCCCCCCCCCCCCCCCCCCCCGGTTGATACGCCCATGCGCGCAGGAGCACTGATATACCAAAAAGTATACACTCGGGGCTGACGGTAACCGCTACAAACGAGACGAAAAATAGGAAAACGCTAGGAGCTGCCGTAAACACTACAACGAAGGAAGATCATGGGAGAAGAGCCTAAGCACCGACAGTACGGAGCCTAGTGATGTTTGACTAACGGGCTAACCTGCTGGCCGCCTGATTAGTACGCTACGAGCTGATGGGATCTATCAGACAGCGTTCAAAGCGCACCATCATGGCGTTCCTGATGTTTTTGTGTTCTTTCTTCGCTGAACTTATCATAAAAAAAGGTTGTTGCTTCGAGGTGTGTCGAAATCTGCTTTGGAATGGACTGTCCCTTCCTTAAACATATTTTGTTTTTTGTTTTTTTGCTCGTTTAAAATTTCTGGCGGAGATCACACGATTACATATTAACAGAAATATGGCAATTAAGGGATTCCAGCAATGACTTTGGACCATTTGGGTGTTCTCTGCATCGCGCCGATTACACCAGTGGCAGCAGAAAGCGAAATTCTGCACCCAACACGTTCGTCCTCACAACAGTCGTGCTCGTAAACCTTTCGTTTACAGAAGCGTACGCTACGTTTCGTGGTGGTCGGCTGATTGATCTGCCGCTACCGCGCAGGTGCGTTGCAACGGGAGACACAGAGATCCGCTTCAGAAGTCGCCCGTACTTTTCCAGAATGCGTGTTTGACCCCGCTTAAAAGCGCCCCGAAACGACGCGGTCTAATCACTTCACTGACCATGTCAAAGGAGAATTAATTGGCGCCACACGCAATCCGGAAAAATACGTTGCTGCTCTCGCACCGTCTTTTTGCATTATCCTTCCTGCAAAAAAGAAAAAAAAAAAAAAAAGGGGGGGGGGGTGCGTGAAACAGTGTAAGATATACAGAAGGATGATGCGAGAGTCCTTCAATACGCTACTGGTCACGAAGCCATACGAAGTTTTTTCCGTAACGGTTTGGGAGAGCTTGGTACGCGACCAGGCGAGGCGCTGGCGTCGAAAAGTGGGCCATATGAGCCGCTAATTTAGCCTGCACTGCTGGGGTGCGGTAACCGGGAAGTATGTCGTAATTTCGAACCATAACATGTCATCGCACTGACATCGTTTCTCGTTAATGTAAGCAACTTCGGCTCGGCACACTCAATTAACTGCTCAATCATAAATAAATATATATATATATATATATATATATATATATATATATATATATATATGTATATATATGTATATCAGGGTGTCGAACCGGAACCGAACCGAACCGAAAACCGGAACCGAACCGGTATTTTTTCCGGAACTGAACCCGAAGCCGAACCGTTATATTGTTATCGCGATGAACCCGAACCGGAACTGAACCGGAAAAAAATACCGGTTACCGGCTCATGTCAAAACGGTTCGACCACGCGCTGTTGACAATGAATGTGGTATCAATGCTATTTGTTTTTTAAGTGCCGTCAACTGACACACACCTCGCTTACATATTTTTCTTCTCCACTCAGTCTTAGGAATATAAACGCTGCATCCATGAATCTTGACAAACGCTGCATCCATGAATCTTGACATAGGAACCAGTATTGCGCTGGTCGCGGCTTGCACGGAAAAAAAAAAAAATTGAAAGGCTGTGCAAAAAAAAAAAAAATCGCGTCACGGGATTTCATTTCCCTACAATCTCGTAAATCCTAAATGCTGCTGTGTGCTCATTTCCTAACACGTTTCTAGAACGCGCGAGTTCTTGAAGCTTGCTTCCATCGGAATGAGAAAAGAAAAGGCTGTGGAGTTTGATAATAATGCATCCGGTTTCGTATAGGCACTTAGAAGCTAACATATTTGTGAGACAGCGAACTCTTCTATTTTAATATTTATCCTATTACGTCCTTCTGGCGTTGCGTTCGGTGAAGTGTTTTTCATATTTCGTATCTCGTTTAATGAAAACTTCTTTAAGGGTCTAATTTGAGTTACCGAAGGCTAGTTCAAACAAAGAAAACTGTATTTTCTCCCCACTGTTCCTTCAATTGCTTACACGCCGAGGTGGCGGGATAGTTAGCGAGTTCTAGTTGTAAGTGGGTTTGTAAGGAGGTCGCGGATTTTACAGCTACTGCGTCGGACCCAATTAGATGAAGTCCGAATGCGTAAACGTCGGTGAGGTAACCTTTGAGAGTACATAAAGAAACCATTCCTGGTAGAAATCTCTGAGCCTTACACTACGATGTATCCCGTTTTGTATGTGCTGATTTCAGATGTTTTATTTGTAATTTATTTTGATGTTGCAATTTGTCATTTATAATTTCCGAACCGGTTCGCGAACCGGTTCAGCGCCCCGATCCGGTTCGTGAACCGGTTCGCGGATCGAATTAATCGAACCGGAACTGAACCGGAACAAAATAAATTTACCTGAACCGTAACCGAACCCGTAGTTTTTTCGGTTCGACACACTGATATATATATATATATATATATATATATATATATATATATATATATATATATATATATATATATATATATATATATATATATATGGGTGTTTTCATCTCAAATCGGGCAGGCTAAAAGGGTCTAATTTTTAATTTTCACGAAAAAAATGTATGTTTTGGGGGCATTTCTCAAATAAAGGAGGGCGCAAACCGCATGTTCTCCCGATTTTTTGTTCTCGAGTTACGAGCCGTAGAAGCCGCAGTGGCAGAAACTAGTGTTTTTGCCTGCCGTCAAAGGTCGCGTGTTTGACACCCTCTGCTGGCGCTA